GCCGCCCGCACCTCATCAATGTCCGCCTGCAGCAGCTTCACCTGCAGCTGCGTACCCCGCTCGAAACGCCGCACAAACTCCTCCGGCGGCGGGGGCATACCTGGCTGCCGCGGCAACTCCTGCTTCTGCAGCTCCTCCACCTGCTGGGCAGTGTAGCTGTTGACATCGTCGAAGCAGTCGGCGCAGTTGAGCCGCGTAAGAGCCTTCTTGTGGCTATTGTGCGCCGTCACCACCCCGACACCGAGGACCCTGATGGCCTGGCGGGACGCTACCGTGGCGGTGAGGAAGACAAGCAGGCTGACGGCAAGGCCGCCCACAGGGTGACGCCGCATCCACGTCCAGCGCTTCCTGCCTACGGAGAGCGCCGCGAAGCCGGCGGCGGCCCCCACGCCGAGAGTGACGTTCATCGTCATGAAATCGTATCGCCACCGTCCGCCCTCCTTCGCCCGCACCGCGGCGGAGAGGTAGGCGTAGCGCAGCACGCCGAAACTCGCGGCTGCAGGCCCCGCGGAAGCCTCGTCCACCAGCACGTGGCCGCCATGCACGTCCACCGGCACTGTCTTGCCAAAGTAAGTGCCCATGTTCGGGATGTTCCAGTAGACGTAGCGGCTGGGATTGAGGCCTACGAGGCGCAGGCAGTCCTCGGCGAGGCTGCGGTAGCCCGGTGAGGCGTCCTCGTGGTAGAGAGAAATGTGCGTCGCCACCTGGTGAAACTGCGCCTTGCTCAAAAGGTACAGGGCATCCATCGCTGCCCGTGCGCCGTCGCTTTCTTTCCCCGCCCTCTCAGTTCTCCTGGAGAGGTGCACACACACACACACAATGAGAAAAGACACACCCAATTAGAAAGAGAAAAAAAAACGCTTTCAAGAAAAGCACGCATGAAGTGCGTGCAGAGCGCGCACACATACACTCGCCACTGCAGCATAACATATGCACCGGAAGAGGAGAAGGAAAAGGGAGGCGTCCCCTCACCGCTGCGAGGAAGCCGGCTTCTCTACCTCGGCCACTGCCTTGTGTGCGTCCAGCAGGATTTGGATATCCTCCACCAACCCACACACGCGGGCGGTGCTCATAGCGAGAACCACCAGCATGGCGAGCAGGACAATACCCGCAATGGTTGGCTGCGCCATCGCGGCCAGGGCGCCGCGCAGAAACACTACGGCCGCCGCATCCGCAGAAAACCCGCTCGACGCCTCCAACAACGTGACGGCACACGACGAGAGAATGACGGAGAGCAGCAACGCCACAATGAGGGCTCCCACGGCGAGTCGAATAAAACCTCCGCGTGCGATCACCACCGCCCCCGCGAGCGCTACCAGCGCCAGCAGAAGCAGCAGGAGGGAAGACACCGGTGCTGTCAGCATCCTCGCAGAGAAGGTGGCCGGGGAAGCTCTACAGGATGGATCTACAGAGGTGTGTGTGCGTTGGTGAAGTCAACCCACACGAAGGGTCGGAGAGACAAAAAAAAAAAAAACAGTGAGAGGAGCATGCGGCCCGGCGATATCTCGCGCAGGCATACACAACACGCGTTGAAAGCAAGCAAAAAACGATAACGATGCCTCAACGTGCATGTATAAATTTTTCTCACACTTAGTCAACTGTGTGAGACAAGCTTTCTCTTTTTTCTCCGTTTCTCTTCTTTCTTTATGCCCTTGTTGTTGTTTATTTCTGTTTTTTTTTGTGTCGTTCGTCTCTTTCACCCACCCCACCCCTAACCCCCAACTTTGTTATGCTTCAAGCCTGAGGCCCCAGCCACCCCGTCCATTTACCTCCTTTCGTCGGCAAAAAAATACCCCCTCACTGGGGCCACCAGTTTTGCTGCCCTACCACTCTCCTTTTTGTTTTTTTTGTTGCTTTTTTTTTTCTTCTTATTACTGTTGCTTCTTACT